TTTTGAGACGGAGTTTCACTCTTGTTACCCAGGCTGGAGTGCAATGGCGCGATCTCGGCTCACCGCAACCTCCGCCTCCTGGGTTCAGGCAATTCTCCTGCCTCAGCCTCCTGGGTAGCTGGGATTACAGGCACGCACCACCATGCCCAGCTAATTTTTTGTATTTTTAGTAGGGACGGGGTTTCACCATGTTGACCAGGATGGTCTTCATCTCTTGACCTCATGATCCACCCGCCTCGGCCTCCCAAAGTGCTGGGATTACAGGCTTGAGCCACCGCGCCCGGCCCCAGGTTCTTAATGCATCTTTCTTCTGTCATACTGACAAACATTTTCAATGGTTCAAGTCATTTATTCCCCTTTACTTATTCTTCCTTGAGTTTTTCATGATAATATGGCTGTTAGCTCTGAAACCTTTGCTTCAGACTGTTTTACTGGCATTTAAATAGGCCTTGAAATTGGAAGGTTCACAGGCGCTCACTCTGACTTCCTTCTGGAGATCCAAAAACTATTTCTTGAGCATATCATGTCCTAAATAAGACACACCTGTAGTGGATTAACCATTCAGAATTATATATGACATCAGATATTACTTTCCTTATATCTATCAAGGTAAAGCCCCATTACCACTGAGAGTAGTAAGTTAATTTATTGATGAATTTTCTTGTCATTTACACCCGCTGGTTGGCAGTTTAAAGAGCACATGCTTTCAGCATCTCATTTATGTAGCTTAAATAGTCACCTGTTTTGAATTGATTTGAGAGGAAGGAAAGACTGGATTCATCGGCAAGTCATGGATCAATTATTATATAAGTTCTAATGCTACCACTCTCCTAGCAAAATGGATGTGATTAACATTTAAGCATGATGCCTACCCATGCATTTTTCGTTTACTGTTTCCTTCAAACCTATTTGCCAGTTCTTGTGTTGTGATTCCAAGAAATGCATACTTTAATAATAAAGACTTAATTTTCCCTTTGCATGAAAACATTCTAAACACCAAGAAGCCTTATGAAATTGAAGGCAAGGGAATATGAAAGTCCATTAAACAACAGCATTATGTATGGTCACCCAGGAATTTGCACACAAAATTCTGCTAAAGCTAATGGCATTTATGTTCTTCAAGTTTTCCAAACAACGAGTTGAAAAATATACCCTCAAGAATTGTTTATACCAAGAAGGGCCAACTATTTATAATCACAAGTGGAGTTTCTGCAAAGGTCTCTGCCAGACACTACAGTTGTGGCATACATCCCTCCCAGTTTGCAGAAACTCTACTGTTTGAGGTTGAAAGTGAAACATGAGTCCAAAGAAATGCGTGCAGCTTTTTCCTAGAATAAGTTAAATTCAGAGTGAAAGAACACAGAAGAGGACAAAGGGTATAGGAAATCACAGCATAGGCAGCCCTGCCTTATTTTTAGTGAAAAGGATTAGTACTGGTAACCCTGCAGTAAAGCTGATCGCCTGTGATCAGAGAGTAGTATAGTTGTAATCCCTTTACTATACCACTAAGTTGATTGATTAAATTAAAAGTTATGAGTCAAATACCCTCAGGGCATCTTGGAAACTTCTTTACTCTCTGCATATTCATATGGTCCTAATGACCTTCCACTGGAAGGAAAAAGTGTGTGCTACCTGCAGGGGATACATGAAGAAAGGCTTAGGAGGAGGCGAAACTTTTTCACAACCACCAGCAAGAGTTTAATTAAACTCTAACATTATAAGCTTGCCTCAATTTAAGAGTGAAATGTACCAGGTTTTTCCTGCACATGGAGCCTCACAGGGTCTTGCAGCTCAAGTAGAAAGAACAATGAAAAGCAGAAGGCTTTCTTTTTACATCTGGCTCCTTGAAATGGGGCTAAGAGGCTTTCTGGAGGGTTTTGCTGGCTGGGACAGTTAGTGTTTACAGATGTGAGTGGCTTTCAGTCATTGCATGTAAATTACATTTGCTTTGTTGCACACACCCTGGGAAAACCAAGAGGAAGAAGAGAAATAATGTTCCTTTATCCGCCCACACACATTGACATTCAAGGCACAGTCTTTTCAGGTTTATTGGGTCCCTAAGCAACCTTTGAAGAGATCTGTACATCTGTCCGGCTGTCCCTACTCCAGCAGACATGGATTCCTTTGCTTTGCTTTTCAAGTCTCTGGTTCCATCTTTGGTCCATTGACTGAATTTTTTGGTAAACATTTCTTGCATTCAGACCTGAGTGGCCACCCAGCTCCTGGGCTAATTCTGCTTCTCTCTTAAAATTTGATCTGTATTCTGAAGGCGAGTTCATCAGAAAAAATAAATGTGGAAGCTAAAATCCTAAGAAGTAAACTAAAATAGGAAGGTGAGAGAGAGAAAATTCTTGCTGAAATACTGAATCCCAAAACCAGATCAGAACAATGTGAGAGTTGAAAGGGAGCCTTTCTAAAGTGAGAGAAACTGTCATCTAGGTTTCTTTTGCATCCTGCCCCTCCCCAGGAGAGAGTAGTCAATGGTCAGCATTCCTCTGAGAGACAATACATATTGTACATAGTCTGAACAATAATGGACGATCATGAGAATCAGATCATCTAGGAGTGTTGAATCTGATACTTACTAGAGGGCCTTATAGAAGTTACTTAACCTCTGTGTGCCTCAGTTTTCTCATCTGTGAAGCAGAGATAATCAAAGCACCTATCTCTTGAAGCAGTTTTAAAGATGACCTACGTTCAAAGCTAATCTCCACCATTTACTACTAGCTGTAGCACCTTGCAAAAGACACTGACTAACTTCTCTGACCTCCAGTCTCCTCTCAGTAAAATCAGAGTCTACATCATTGTATTGTTAGAATTGTATTCTTAGAATAGGCTTGGAATATGATGAAAGCTCACACAGTGTTAGTCATTATTATTTTAAAATGAGGCAATGTATAAATGGTTCTTAGTTCAGAACAAGTCCAACAGCAAGAATTGTGTTAGCTATGAGTGTAATGTGCTTATTTCTAGTTTTGTCCTGCTATCCACCCAAATTCTCAACCTTTAGATAATGATTTAGCTCTGATCTTATGCTGATATCTTGGATAAGTCTTCTCATCTGATTGATTTCCATCACCTGGTGAGAATTTGCTGAGATTCCAACCTGACTACTGAATTTCTTCCCATCCAAGTGGACAGAGGGCCAAGTTCCAGGTATATTTTATCATCCCTGACTTCACAAATATCACTGAAAGTAAAGGGCCCCAAGTTTACAATTGACAGACACTTTATAAAAGATCTTATACTATAAGGCCTAACCAGCAATGAGGAAATCGAGTTTTCATTTGTGATTTTTCCCCCATCAAAAATGAATTTAATAACAAATAAAATATCCATTTTAGCAGTCGACCAGACAAACACATGAAACTAGTCAGCTAATTTTAAGTTAGTATTTGATGGCCTTTTATTTTGTAAATAAGAAGACAGAAGTCAGTGGAGTTTGGAATTTATGTGTTCTGTGATTTCTGTTGGCCAAGGTCAGTTTCACTTGACTTCTCTTCCCCTCTTTCCCCACCCAACCCCCAGAAGCACATAAGCAGTTATTAGTTGGGATCTGCCTCTAAGTATCCTAGAGGCTAAGCAACAAGCAATTAGAGAAAAAGCAAAGCTGAAAGAAGGTAAGGAAACAACCTAATTGTTGAGCTGAGCCCTGGGCAGCTCCTGCTCTCTCTGCCTAACCTGGTCTTAGTTGGTCTTCTTATTTCAGCCTAAATTATCACTTCTTCAAGGAAGCTCCTTCTGATTCACCACATTGGGCTGGTTCTAGTTCTTAAAGACTCTTTTCAATTCTTTTTACTCTTCTTACTATTTATTGTTCTGTTTATTATTCTGCACTTGAACTCCTGGGCTCAAGAAATCCTCCCGCCTCAGCCTCCTGAGTGGCTGGGACTACAGGTGCATACCACGATAAATAGAGCATCAAGCTCTATTTATTGTTTAGTACAGCTGCTTCAGGTTTCCCTAGGGTTATGTTCCTCAGGATATTCCATATAATTTAAAGCTTACAGAATTCAAGATTAATCCTGAAAAAGGATTAAGACTGCATTTTTAAGCCAGCTATAAAGTGGTACAGCTGTGCACCAATAACATAAGCACAGCTTAAAATTCATTCAGTCACCAGCTTTGAAATTATGATTATTGCAATTTTTAATTTGGGGAAAGAGAATTTGCATTGCTTTACACATTTTGTGCATAGAGTGGCTTTACTAATATTTTTAAATCTTTTTATGTCTTTATTAATATTTTTATGTTTCTATGCCTTATGACATGTCCATATAGGTCCAAGTCAGACTGCTCTATAATTATTTGTTTGATTGAATTAACTGGCTCTCCCCAGTAAAGGATAACTTCCAGGAACTGTAACTATCCTTTGTTCATTTCAGTCCACCGAGTGCCTAGCAAAATGGTATGTGGTAGACACTCAAGAAACCTGGAAGAAATTTAAAAGGTTAGGAACTGACACTTTCTGAGAATAAAGAAGGGAGATTTTTTTCTTCTCTGTGGGCAGGGAGCACAGCATCTTTTCCATCTTGAAGGCAGGAAAGAGTTACCTCTTCCTCTGGGCTCCATCAGCATCCTGCCTACTCCTACATCACAGCACAGATCCTAATTGGCAAAATTATTAATCAGTCTCTCTCCCACTGAAATAGTCACGTCAGACAGATTCCTTTCTGACTGAAACTGTTCTGCTGTGAAAGACTAACAACAAAGCAGATGCTCCTTCATGCCAGGCCAGTTCGATCTGTTATCCTACTGGCCATCTAGAGTAGAAGGAAAACTAGAGCCTTCTAACACCTGACATCTCCCAATCCAGGAGAGAAGAAGAGAAAATTCCCAGTTACCAAGAAGTGAATTGTAGCTCCCCTTTTTGAGGCTGTAATGCAATAGCCATCCCATCGCACCATGGGCCCAGAAACCTATAATCTCTTCTTTTATCTCTTCCTTTGTAAGAATTATTGATTAATTGCTGTGCTCCCTGTACTGTGTCAATTGCACATCTTTTAAACAATTGCCTGTTGGACTATACATTCTCTACCCCACTCTTGGTATCAAAATCTGTGTCAGTTAGAGTTCTCCAGAGGGACAAAACCAGTATGATATATGTGTATAAAAGGGAGTTTATTGGGGAGAATTGTCTCACACAGTTACAGGATAAAGTCCTGTGATAGGCTGCCTACAAGCTGGGAAAAGAGAGAAACTGGTAGCCTGGCTCAGTTTAAGTCTAAAATGCCTCAAAACCAGGGAATCTGACAGTGCAGCTCTCAGTCTGAGGTCAAAGGCCCAAGAGTCCCTGGAAGGCCACTGGTGCAAGTTGAAGAACCTGAGGTCTGATGTCCAAGAGCAGGAGGAGTGGATGGATCTTCCTCTCCTAGTCCACTGACTCAAATGTCAGTTTACTCTGGCAACACTCTCACAGATATACCCAGACACACATTTTATCAGCCATCTAGGCATTCTTCAATCCAATCAACTTGACATCTAATATTCACTATCACACCTGCCCTAGGCTATTGTTTCCCTGAGGACAGAGACTGTGTTTTGTTTGTGACTGTGTCACTAGTTCTTAGCCTATGTAAAACAAAATAGACAGCTAGAAGTATCAAATGAATGAGTGATAAAAGAATGGATAGATGAACTGGGCTTCTGGGGTTCACTCCATCCCTTGTAATGATATCAAGGAAATGTCACAAAAGACAAAATCTAAACCCTCTTTAAAATCTATATTAGTTAAATTCATCATGCTTTCTTTAATCTGTAAGAGCTGGAAAAAATCTCTCATATTACCCTCAACCCTGGAGCAGCATTTATAATTAGTATCTTCAAGATACTACATATATTAGAAACAACATTGGACAAACTCTCTATATGATGAACACATCCTTTGCCTTACCTTTCATTTCCTGTGTCTTCTCTGCTTTTTCCCTGCATTCTGTGATTTTATGGCAGACTCTCAAGAAAGGCATTAGAGTTGGTTGGGACCATTACGATATCCCCAGCTCCAGCACCATATCTGATATAGATTTAGTGCTGAATACATGTTACTCAATGAACTTGCTGCAAGAAGTCTTCACTTTTAAGAGAATATTTCAATTACTTAAAACAATCATAGACAGGAGGAACATGTATGTACCAACAATCTTAATAAGGTTATTCAGAATTGTACACACAAAACTCTGCTGAAGCTAACAGCATTTATATGCTTAAGTTTTCCAAACAATGTGTTGAAAATATACCCTGAAGAATTGTTTATGCCAAATAAGGCTGACTATTCATGATCATGACTGGAATTGCTGCATGTTTTGTGCCAGCCACATCATTCCTGCCAAACATCCTCCCAATTTGCAAGGATTCTCGGGTTTCATTTTGAAAATAAAGCAGTAAAATGCTTCTTAAGTCCAACTTACGTGGGTCTTAATTTTCATTAGCACTTACTTAGGCTCTACTGATTAGAGTAACATCTTAACTCTTTTTTGAAATTCTTGTTTTGATTGACAAAGTGACATGGAATTTTTAAAGTGACAGATTGACAAAGGAGCACAGAAACAAGTCAATAGAATTATGATGCTAGCTTGAGTTCTGAATGCTCAACACTTAAAAAGTGACTCATACCACCTTTTGTGCCAGAGACACCAACAACCTGAAAGGCTGTCCATCAGATATTTCTATTTCCGAAACAGGAAAACAGTTCCTTATTCCAGTGTCTCCGAGCCAAAACTTGTAGAAAAAAAGAATGAAAAAATACAAAAATCTCACATTGACCAGGGTCTTAAACATGGCAACAAGAGATTATATGCTTGGAAAATAACTCGTAACAAATAGGGCTTAATGGCAAAAGCACTCCTGAAAAGTGAGCCTGCTGAAGACCCTTCAGACTCAGTCCATACCTAGGTTCTAAACCAGTGATTTTCCTTATTTGGGAGAATTGCACAAGAGTTAAGCAACCCAGCATTGTACTAATTCTAACAAGGTCATTACATCTAAAGCTTTATTAAGCACGTAGACTCTGCAGTCAGAATGAATCCTGCCTCCACCACTTACTACCTGCAAGAGGTTAGGCAAGACATTTAACCCCTCTGTGCCTTTGTTTTCTCATCTATTTAATGGGGTTAATAATAATACTAACTTCATAGAACTAATGTGAAGATGAATTTAATTAATTTATGTAAAGAGCTTAGAAGAGTGCCTAGCATATATTCAGTGTTATATACTTGGTAGCTATTCTCATAACCCTTTTTCATGATCTATTTCTTGCCTTGGACACCAGTTCTCATAACTGGGTCTTAATTTTCATGCATGTGTCAATTCCATAGATAGTTAAGGACCAACTACTATCCAGCCAACTTTGTCCTTTAGGAAACGGCCTTTTTTTCCCAAGAAGACCCATGTAGGAGCCCTCACTTTGCCCTTCCAGGAATGAAGTGCCTTCCTTGCTCCTTCTAATTCTTCTAAGCGCTAGAATTCTGCCTTTTATTGCTGCCAGACCTGCCTGATGCCCAATGTCCCTCTCTCTCACCATCTGCTCCTAATCACTGATCTCTCCTAACACCAGGGGCTTCCTGGTCTGTCTGCTCATCCCAATACCAATCTTTCTGTCTAGTCTTTAAGCTCAGCTGCCTGGTCTGGTCTTGATTCTGACAGCACCCTTGAAATTTGTTCAAGCAATGAATAAATTATTCAAATCCTTTACTTTCCTCCAAGGGAGAACTAGGAAGCCAGACCTTATCAAGCCAAAGGAATTCCTGCTTCCCCCTTGCTGCAACAATTTAATCTCTAAGAAGCTCAAAAAAGCACTAAGGAAATAACCCTCTAATCATAAATGATCCCTCTCCATCAAGAGAAAACAGACCTCTCCTGCCTGGAATTGCTTAAACAGGACTCTTCCATTTCACCAGAGCTTCAGGGCCAAACCAGCCTCCAGCTACCACGTTGGGCTGCAGATTTCAGAAACTTGGAAAGGGGAACTTTTCATCCTGACTATTGCCTTTGCAGTGTTCTCAGCTGCCAGCATGTGATGGTGGGCATGGGCCTGAGCCTACTTTTGTGTTCTTAAATAAGGCTAAGAGGCTGTTCTCCTTAGCTTCTTAGCCCTAGATACTCATCAATCAACCAGATTTCTTGAGTGGACCTACTGTGTGTAGGCCTTTGGAAAGCAAATCACCTCCTATGTACTTTTTAAAATTTTTATTTAAATTTTTCTGGGTATAGAGTAGGTATATATATGTATGGGGTATATGAGATGTTTTGATAAAGGCATGCAACGTGAAATAAGCCCATCATGGGGAATGGTGTACCCATCCCCTCAAGCATTTATCCTTTGAGTTACAAACAATACAATTATACTCTTTAAGTTATTAAATATTTTTGAAGTTACAATTATTATTGACCATAGTCACCCTATTATGCTATTAAATAGTAGTTCTTATTCATTCTTTCTAATTTTTTTCTTTTGAAACAGCTCCATAAAAGTTATCATATTCTTTCTAATTTTTTGCACACACTAACCATGCTCACTTCCCCTCCATCCCCCCTACTACCCTTCCCCTCCATCCCCCCCACTACCCTTCCCAGTCTCTGGTAACTAGCCTTCAACTCTGTACATCTATGAGTTCAATTGTTTTGATTTTTAACCCTTATGTACTTTTAAAAGTATTGGAGGGAAGGTAATATTCAGGGCAAAACAAAGTGCTGATGCTGGCAAAGCAGAAGGGACTTTCCTAAGGTCACAGAGTTCAAAAGGAGCAGTTCCAGGATTTAATTACATCACCCTGTGTTCAGATACAGATTGTTTGACACATCTCACTCGGTTCACTGGAGCTTAGCCTGTTCCAGCTTAATCTCGTGCCCTCTGCAAATCATACTCTTGGCTCCATGTCCTTCCAGGTTCCTAAACAGCAGCTTGTTCGTTCTGATCTCCAGGCCTTTGCACAGGCTCCTCCCTGTGCTTGCCACCCTCCATCCAGCCTCTATTTCTTCACCTGGCTGTTTGCTTGTCACCCTTTCATTCTCTTCTTTAACCCCGCTGCCTCAGAAAACCATTTCCAACTGCCCAGGCTGGATTAGCCGCCCTCCTCTTTTTTGCTTTGTGACTATCCTATCACAGCACTTTCCATACTGCACTGTAATTGCCTGTCCACAGGTTTAATCCCCTAATATGCTAAGAGACCCTCAAGGGCAGGGCCCTTATCTGGTTTCTCTCTGAATCCCCAGGAACGTATATAGGATTCAGAGCACAACATGTGACAGTGAAGTTTTGTTAAAATAAGGTGGATCAAACTCTCTCTTTATCAGGCTGCCTCCCAGACTAAAAATAACAGCTTTGCAACTCCCGGCTAATGGCTCAAGGCAGGCACTCCTGGCCCAGAGCACCTGACCTCTAATCTGCAAAATGTTCTGGGGTAACATGTGTCCTCCCACCTTTGCCTCTTACAGGCTCACTGATCACTGTCATTTCCCAGTTAACCACCCCCATTACAGGATAATCAAACTTTCGGCTTTCATCCAATGCAGCTCAAGCATAGGGTAAGCCAGAGTGAGCCTGGATAGACTAGGCAAGAAAAGTAACTCTGCTTCTGCCATCACTTGGTTAGTTCTTTATTAAAAGGGAACTTTTTATTGAAGCATAACATACGTGCAGAAAAGTGGGCACATTGTAAGTCTATAGCTCAAAGCTTCACATCCTTGTGAACACATTCATGTCACTAGCACAAAAATCTGAAAATGACTAGGACTCCAGAAGCTTCCTTTTTGTCTCTGTCCAGTCACTACTGCCTGCAAAAGGCAATCATCTCAACTTCTATCATAGATTAATTTGGCCTGTTTTAAAACTTTTTATAAATGGAATTTTATAGTGTGTACTCTTTGGTATCTGGCTTCTTTTGTTCAACTTTATCATTGGTGAGATTCATCCATGTGGTTGCATATCATTTTGGTTTGTTCTTTCTCATGGCTGTATAATACTACACTGCATGAATCTACCACTTTTCATTTATTTGTCCTATTATGGATGAACATTTGGGTAGTTTACAGTTTGAGGCTATAATGAACAGTGCTGCTATATGCATTCATATACATCGCTTTTGATAAATATACATGTGCCTTTCTGTTGGTTAGATACTAGATGTGGAATTGCTGGGTTGTAACATAAGTTGCTTAGCTTTAATAAATACTGCTAAACCATCTTCCACACCAAAATAGATCTAATTAATCTACATCCTTGCTCATATTTGATATCGTTTATATGGTTTTGTTTTGTTTTCTTTTTCCACTTTAAATACTGGCTATAGTAGTGATATCATGTTGGGATTTTGATTTCGACTTCTTTGAATTTTGCCTAGTATGTTGTCATTGACCATTTGGATAAACTGAAGTATTTGTTCAGATGTTTTGATCATTTTTTTCTTTTTCTATCCTCTGCCTTTTATTGACTTGTAGGAATTCTTTATATAGTCTAGATACGAGTCCTTTGTCAATTATATGCATTGCCAACATCTCCCATTCTATGGCTTGCCTTTTTACTTTTCTAATCTTTTGATAAATAAAGGATTTCATTTAAATGTGGTCCACATTATTTTTTTTCTTCATGATTAGTGCTTTTTGTGCCCCATTTAATAAATTTTTGCCTACCTCAAAGTTGTGAAGATGTTCTCTTGTATTTCCTTCTAAAAGCATAGTTTTTACCTTTCATATCTAGATATTGAACCGATCTGTAGTTGAATTTGTATATGGTGTGAGGTGGGAGTCAATAGTCTTTCTGAATTTTTTTCCACAGGACTATTGGTTGAAATGCTCATCTTTTTCCCACTTCATTACAGCATTACCTTTGTCATACATCAAGTGATCATATATCTATGGGTCTATTTCAGGACTCTATTCTGTTTTTCTCTTCTATTGCTATATTTGTCTGCCTTGCCAATAATACACCATCTTTATTATGATTCTTTTATTAAAAGCTTTGATACCTGGGAATGTTCTCCCATTTTTTCCTTCTTTATTTGGCTATTCTTGGTCCTTTGCATTTCTGCATAAATGTTAGAATCATGATCAATTTTTATTTTTAAAAAAATCTCCTCTTATTCTTACTGAGACTGTTTTGAACTCATAGAATAATGTGGGGAGATATGACAACTTTACATTATTAAATCTTTCAGTCAATGACTATGTCATTCAGTTTATTTAGTTTTACTCTAAGTTCTCTCAATAATGTTTTATAGCTTTCTGTGGAGAAGAGGTCTTGTTCACTTTTTCATGAGATTTATTCCTGGGTATTATATGTTTTATGCTATAGTGAATAATCTTTAAAAATTTCATTTTCCAATTTGTCGTTGGTATATAGGAATGAAATTGACTTTTGTATTTTGAGTTAATTTCCAGAGACTTTGCTAAATTCACTTATTGTTTCTATTACTTTGTGTATAGATTATTTTGGAATTTACATACACAATAAGTTATGCCAATAATTTCTTTCTAATTTTTATAGCTTCTCTTTTTCCTTTTTGCCTTATTACACTGGCTGTTGCCTCTAGTATGATGTTAAATGGTGGGCATTCTTGCCTTGTTCACAATCTTATGGGGAAAGCTTTTAATATCCATCATTAAATAGGATTATTGCTATGGCTTTTTTGTAAATATTTTTATCACATTAAGAAAATTTCCTTCTATTATTAGTTTGCTAAAATGTTTTCTTGTGAATGTATATCAAATATAATCAGATACTTTTTCTGT